GAGTCCGGTCCCTGTAATAGGTTACCGGAGGTGGGCCAACGCAGGTGGTAATAGGTTTTGTGCCTTGGCCTATTCCCCCTGGTGGCCCAGTGGCCGCCATCCTTCAGAGGCCACTGGACAGTCAGGTTTGGGCCCCCAGTGACAAGACACGCAGGACCTCACGGGATGGTGGTGGAGCAGGTCCTGTCCTCCCCACCCCAACGAGACCCCAAGTCATCGTCCACGAATGGTCTCTCTTGCTCCTGATAAAGCTGCTTAACGGCCTTGATCCCAGAGACTCAGAAACAAATCTCGAAACCCAGCGGCTTTTGGCAGAAATGCGTGCGGACCCCACAGTAGGTTACTGTCGCTGGGTCACCCCAGGGGGGAAAGGGTGCTGTCCCTCTGCCTGCTTCCCCCTGGCGACTAGGTGGCAGTCATCCTCCAAGAGGCCATTGGACAGTCAGGCTTGGGCCCGCAGTGACAAAGCTTGTTGGGCCTCACAGGATGGGGGTGGAGCCGGGCCTGTCTCCCCCATCCCAATGAGACCCCAAGTCATTGCCCACGAATGGTCTCTCTGGCTCCTGATCAAGCTGCTTAACGGCCATGATCCCAGAGACTCAGAAACAAATCTTGAAACCTAGCGGCTTTTGGCAGAAATTCGTTGGGACCCCGCAGTAGTTACTGTCGCCTGGCCACCCCAAAGGGGGAAGGGTGTTGTCCCTCCACCTGCTCCCCCTTGGCAGCTTCTGTTTTTGAAGACTTAAGAAAAACAGAATTAAGTCCACTTCAATGTCCACTGATTTTATTTAAATGTCATGTGTATGATGCTGGTAAGTCATATTGAAGCTCTACAATAATGTTTATCTTGATTTTATACTCTGCAGCTTTATTTTGAATATGTTCTCTAGTTAGTTAAAGATTTGTGTAAAGAATATACTGCATTTTTTTGCCATTTTCAAAGCAGTCTTCAGAAAAACCACATCAGTTCTTTTATTATTCTTGGTTTCAAAGGGAGGATTCATAATTACTGTATCAGATGACTTAGACATTCTTTTAGATAATGAGCATGTATCACACTGAATCATATTAACTCAAACACTTCCAGATTCCTACTAAATATTTCCAGTATATCCTCATCTATGTCAAATCCAACCCGCTTCTAACATTGCAGCTCAGATGCTAAGCACTCTACAACCACATCCTAGATCTGCAATCATCCTATTTTCAATGTCATCAAATGTATTCTGAATTGTGTGGGACTGCAATCTGCAGTCGGGTAGGATGCTGTTCTAGAAGTAGCTCGAGCTTTTAGAATCCATCTACTTGTTGCAGGCTACTTAGGTTTTAATATCTCCAATTATTTCTTCTAAGTGTGGCTTCACTGGGCTCAGCGGTACTGGATCTGCAGAGAAATCTATTGAAACAGGCTTTTGCTCCCCGTCTTTTCCTTTTCAGAGTCGCTGGCCAAGGATAGGGTAGGGAATGCAAAAGACACAGCAGATTGAATCCGTCACCAATCTGCTGTGTGTCGGGCGGTCAGGCAGGCTGAGTCTTGGTGCGGAGATAAGCCGTGGCGCTTCCAAGCTGGGATACTGTGTGCGGAGCCCCTTGCCGGCGCTGACTCCACAAGCCGCTGAGCTCGGCTCTACACATCACTTTAGTTATCCACGTAAATACCCATCATGCGTTTTTACAGCTGGACAGTAATTTGTTCTGCTAATATGCAACTACTTATTCGTCACTGAAAAATATTTGTTACTTCTAATCCATGGGTTTCATTACTTTTGCAATCAGTAGCCTTGATATTATGTGCCTTTGTATTTTTCTCAATTAATGTCTTAAAATTATTTGTTTCTAAAGGTATTTTTATCCCATGAAAGCTACAACTATGAATAGATAAAAGGTATGTGTTAAAAATATTATCTAGCTTTTTCCCCTTAGAGGATATGGCTCTTGATAAAGTGGTTTTCTGAGTTCCAGAGGAAAAAATCTCTTTGAAGCAAGAATAAGTGTCTTTTGATTTGGTCAAAAACACAATGAGGGCTTTCTGTCATTCAAAATGTGAAGAGTGGGGGGGGTATAATGGAGAAAATACAGCGGGTAAGGAGTTTGTTCGCCTTTGCACACAGTTGGCCCGGGTTCCACGCCAGTATTCCATATAGTCCCCGAGCATAGACAGGAATAATTCCAAGTGGAGAGCCAGGAATAACCACTGAGCACCCATTAGCGTGGCCCAAAACAAAACAAAACAAAAAGAAAAACAAAATGTGAAGGGTACATCTGTAAGAGGGGCTGTTCATTTTCCACGGTTTCATCCAAACACAACATGAAGTGTGTTCGTCAACATGTCTCCCCCAGCAGAGGGCACTTTAAATATTCTGTTACATTGCTCAGGAAGTAAACACAGAAGATAAAACAATGTTAATCTGGAATCAGGAGAGACCCTGTAGATTTCATTTTGAAAATCACAAAAATATACAGAACATTTTGGCTATATCACAGGGTTTCATTCGAAAGTTTTGTTAGTGTGTGACGTCAAAGGAAAGGGCCTATATATCTGTCATACTGATCTTCAGCTCCTTTCTTCCCACTTTGAGAAGGGTTCTGGTCTAAACCTTCTCAGAGCCCATACAGTATCCGTTTTCAAATTAGTTCGTAGTTAGTTTTTTGTTCTGTATTTGCCCTTCTGTCTGATAACTTAATCAAGGGTATCGCTTCCTTTCTGCTCATATAAGAGTAGAAATTAGCGAAGCTCTCAGCTCTATTCTGGGAAGGAACTGACCCTTAGAAACTGTATTGTTTCCGTCCTCCCTGGAGAAGTCTTGTAAATAGGGTGCCCCTCTTGGTTTTGGCAGGCTCAGTGCTTGAGTCTGTGCTGTGAAAGTAAACAAAGAAGCTTTCTCTTAGCTTTTTCCTACCTTTCTCTTAAATGAAGTTGTTCACATCTGTTTTCTTAGGAGAGGATAATCGGTGCATCTATTCTCATGGAGATCACAACTACTAACTTCTTTAAGAGACGTTCATTTATTTTTTATTTAAATTTTTAAAAGTTTGTTAAATTTTATTTTAGTCACTGTGATTTATAATGCTATTAATGATAGACTTTTATGCATAGTGTTCCAACTCCACATCCTCCACTAGTGTCTATTTCCTTCTACTGTTATCTCAAGGTTCATTCCACTCCCCACCAAAAGCTCCTCCCAAACCCTATGAAGATACGATCAGTTTTGTAGAAAAGTTCACAAATTCTGTTGCTTTGAACCAATTGGTATTCCCTTACTATTCTTTATATCCCACACATGAGAGGTATCAGTATGCCCAGAATTTGCAGACAGGTCTAGTTTAAAAAAAAATTCACACTACAAACTGACTTTCCGGCTTTTGGTTTTCAAAATGTAGACAATAAAAGCACCAATTCAAAAAGCATCAAATATACTGGTGTGCTAAGTCACTAGAGAACTAGTAGTCTACTCAGTTCAGACTTGGCCTGTTTTTTCATTAACTGCTGACCTCCAAAGATAAAGACAATATACAGAACAGAAAACAGGAAAGATTTCTTCCATTTTTCCTCCATCCACTGGATAGTTTCCTTTTCAAACCGCTTTTCAAATTCATATTCTGGTAAGGTCAACACTGACATGTTCATTGGGAAAGATCTTCTGAGTTGCTACGTGCTCTGTATACAAAATAGAATTATTTGTAAAGCACTTGATTTCCAGAGCTCTCTTGTCTGCTCCCCCTATCCGTCTGTCTCACTCTTCTCGCTGTGACTCTCTCCCCAACTCTCAGATATATCCAGAGTTGAGCATTGCCTCTCTAAAACAATTAAATCTTTAATAAGATATAACAATCCTAGAAGTTTATGTGTCAAGTAACAACAACTTGACAATCTCTTTTGTTAACTCCTGATATTTTTATTGTCTTAACAAAAACTTGATAATCCCCTTTGGTAATTCCTGATATTTTTATTATCTCTCTATTTTTTTGGATTTTCAAAAATATGTAGTTTTAATTATGCTTCATGTGCCTCTTTCAATCTAGCTTTCAAATGCTATTTTTTTCTATGTCTTGTCATAGCTTGATAGCTCATTTTTTATTGCTGAATAATTCTGGTGTAGTTTTACTCATTTGTTTATCCACTTAATAATGCTTATCCATCTATTAACAAGGGCATCTGTGCAGCTTCCAATATGGGACCACTTTGAATAAAGCTTTTCTTGAACATCTAAGTGCAGGTTTTTCTGTGGACATGAGCTTTCAATTCATTATGGTTAATTTCATTTTGAGAATTGTTATTTTTTCTATGAACTCCTTTTCAGCGAGAGCTTGTTTCCATGGAAATTTCAAGTACTCTACGTTATAGAGACATTGGAGAGTGCCACTGCTGGGGCCCAGTGGTTTTACAAATGCACGGACAATTTCAGGTGAATTTTTTGACTGTTGGGTTTTATTTTATTCTTTAAATATCCACTTGAAATATTCATATATGCACATCTATAAGTATAAGGTGGGGTTTCTAATTTTTGTATTTATCTAATCTTTATTAATGCTTTAATTAACCATTGGGGGAAATTTTCATAGTTCCTTTTTTCCTTTTTATATATAATCAAGGATAACCTTTGTTACTTCCAAATTAAAATGCTTAGCTTATTTCTTCTCTGTACATTTAAGATTGGAAATTGACTCTACACTCATGAACCAGAATTTTATTCCCCCACTAACAAATCCAGTTATCTTTAAATTATTTTTCTTCATTGTAAATGTCCTTCATTTATCACATAATAAATTTTTCTGACCTTTATATTGACCTTATTAAATTATTTTTATTAAATATGAACCAATATTTCTCAGTATTTACAGTAGTGGTGGCACATGGGGCAGATTCATCCACATCAGCTCCTAATTGATAGTTCACAGAAGTAAATAATAAATTAATTTTTAATACAGTAATATAAAAGCATGAATATTATGAATTTGGTGATTCACTTAATTTGTTTTTTCCCTGATATTCTATCAAGTTGATGACCAGATAAAGAGTCACAAGGAAAGGCAAAATAAATCTCTGTGGCTAGCTGCATTCATAGAGAAGGAAACAATGAAGGATGGAAGTGGCCAAGAATTCAGAACATCTAGACAAATCATTTTCTAAGCATGGATTTTGCTCCTATAAGGGAAAGACTACTGAAATATTCACAGGGAAAATATTCAGAACCTTATGAATGCTATAAATGTTCAAAAGCCAACCCTCATTGCTTACCAGAGTACTCACACAGGCAAGAAACCCTATGAATGTTGTGAATGTGGGAAAACCTTTATCCAGAAAGCCCCTTTGATAACACATCAGAGAATTCACACAGGAGAGAGTCCTTATGAATGCAGTGACAGTGGGAAAGCATTTAGTAGAAAGTCAACCCTTATTAAACATCAAAAAATCCATACAGGAAAAAAACCTCATGAAAGTAATGAATGTGGAAAAGCCTTCAGTGAGAAATCAACTTTCATTATACATCACAGAACTCATACAGGAGAGAACCGTACAAATGCAGGAACTGTAGCAGAGCTTCAGTGGGAAAATTTCTCACTCAACACCAGAGATATACAGGAGATGAAATCTAAGAAGAAATTTAGATATGGGTAACTTTGTCCATTAATTATGTATTGCTAAACTAAGAATCAGTGAATTTATGAGTAGCCACGTAAATCTAATGAAATAATATCTTTAGCCTTTATTAGATTTTTTTAAAACTCAGATTTCAAGGCTAGAAAGACAGTGTAAAAATGGCTAAGGCACTTGCTTTGCTCTGCAGGAGAGATCCCTGAGCACAGAGCCAGGAACAAGCCCTGAACACTGCCACATGTGGTATAAAAACCAAACCAAACCAACCAACCAACAAACAAAAATACCCTAACAAAATTTCAGATTTGCAATATTTAATGCAAGCAGTATATACAATAAAAATTTCACTCAGGAATACATTGTACATAAAAGAATTTCTGAATGTTCTAGATGAATCCTCCACCCAGATCCTCCAGATTCCAATAAGTGGGGCTCACACCCACCAACTGGTCCCCTGGCGCTGTGTAATCCCATCAACGGCCAAGACTCAGAGACTATAAAACCCAGCTCCCAGAAGAGAACAGCGCAGAGTCTCCTGCCCCTGCGCCTGGCTGTCCTCGCCTTGGAGGGGAGCGGGTTGAGTTTTCCTCCCCGCCCCGACCAGGGCTCCGGCAACCGAAGACCTCCAGAACCAGCCACCACAATGCTGAGACCACTCTTCGTACACATGAAGGTACCGGCAGCAGAACAAAGGCACGCGGGTCCTGGGGCTGAGATCTCCAAGCCTACTCGGATCGGGGCTGAGCAACCTCCACCCAGATCCTCAAAATTTCAGTGGCGGGGGTCACACCCACCAACTGGCCCCCTGGCGCCGTGTAATCACATCAACGGCCAAGACTCAGAGACTATAAAACCCAGCTCCCAGAAGCGCGCGGCCGTGAATGCCGCGAATGACATCGTATCATCTCATTCCTACTTTGGAAAAACTGGCAGGCTACCAAATGTAACCTGCCCACATGGCAGAGTCTGGCAAACTCCCCGTGGCGTACCCAATATGCCAAATACCAGTAACAATGAAGGGTCTCATTCTCCTAACTCTGAAAGAGCCTTGAATATGACACTTTTTTTTTTAAGTCTCAGGGCTAGGACGAAGGAGACGTTACTGGGGCCTGCTTGAGGCAATCGAGGAATACAAGGATAATGTCTATCATCAAAGTTGGAAAGTCTTTAAAAGAACTTAAATGTCATTTACATCAGAGAACTTAGGTTTAGGAGATTACCGTTATAAAAAATTGAAGAACTCCACTTTTCTAGAAATTACATTATGAGAGAAATATTATTCTAGATGTCATATCTTACAAAAAAAGATTAAGTACTCAATTCAAAATAGTACACATATTTGCTAAGGAGTAAAACATAAAATATTTGGAAGAATAAAATGTGTCAAATAATCAGTAGAATAAAGGAAAAGTAAACTTTCATTATCCAAACTATCAGATTAATCTGAAATAATAATATTATATCAAAAATATCATATATTAGATAATATAAAGAGTGATATTAATACATGAATAGAGAATCCCTACACAAATTAGTGTGAGAGAAGATGAGATAGCAGAATCTCCAAAGGATCTAAGCAGAAGACTTAAAATACACATTTTATCTAGCATATTATCTGAAGAATCAGTAATAGCAATGGACAACTGGAGGTTTCGGATTTCCAGGAATGAGTAATAATGGTGGAAAGTCAGAGGTTTAGGATTTCCAGGAAATATTCTATAGTAGTATCAATTGAAATAATAAATGGAAGTAACTTGAATATTCGATTATAGGAGCTTGAGTACAGATTTGGAGATTTGGTGGGTTTAGTTGCAGACCGCCACAGTTAAAACGAGTATCACAATAAACTGATTCAGGGATATTTTCCCCAAGTGCTCATAAGTTATGTTTACAATATAACAGTCATAATGTTTGATAGCATTGTGATAAAAATATATTTTAATTTTGAAATATTCCTAAAAGTACTAACCTCAGAGCCTTGAGCAAGTTGTGATCTTTTTGCTGGTGGTAGGTTGCAGTAGTAATACCAAAGATCTCTAATCACAGATATGATAGCAGTTAAGATAAATATAACAGATAATAATGAAAAATTTGTAATATTACAAATTACCAAAATGTGAGAGACATGAAATGAACATGTGCCACTGGAAAATGGCATCAATAAACTTTTATGATGCAGAGTTGCCACAAACTGTCAACTTGTTTTAAAAAGTAGAAAAGCACACAATATCTGTGAAGCACAATAAAACGCAGTCAAATGTGGCAAACCTGTTTCTAATACATGCATATGATGGGACGATATACCATAATAAGTTATGTTGAGATTCTAAGACTGTATCATGTCTGTGAGGTAAAGTGACATACAAAAAGTATGTGCACCATTATGATTTGAAATATTTTTATTTTGTGTGTGTTTATTTTTGTTCCATATTTGGCAGTACTCAGGGGCTCCTCCTGATAGTGCTCAAGGGAACCAAATGAAAAAATACCAAGTGAAAAAATACCAGGTCTCCAACAGGCAAAGCGTGTTTGTAACAGTCGGTTGATTCTATTTCTCCTCAGATTTCAACATGGTTATGGGAATTAGTATAATTCTGAAAATACCAATAAAAAGCAATTTTATTAGTAAACATTATAAACATGTGGCACCAGTGGTAGTGCAGTAGTTAAGGTGCTTGCCTTGCATGTGGATGACCCAGGTTTGATTCCTGGTACTCTATACAGTTCCCTGAGCATTACCCAAAGTGGTCTGTGAACATAAAGCAAAGAGAATGCCCTGAACACTGCTAGGCATGACACAAAAACTACACTTATATGTAAAGGTAAAGGTAAAGGCCCTCCCGTTGATCGTCGATTTGCTGGAGCGGGCCCAGTAACGTCTCCATTGGAGACTTTGTTGTTACTGTGTCTGGCATATCGAATACTCTCGGTAGCTTGCCGGGCTCTCCGAGAGGGGCGGAGGAATCGAACTCGGGTCGGCCATGTTGGCCGCTTGTAAGGCGAACGCCCTACCGCTGTGCTATCACTCCAGCCCATACAATGAATTTGTGTATATCCATTTTATGAATAATATGTCTATCTTTATGTGTGAAGAGACACAGAGAAATGTTAAAAAGAAAATACATCCTATGATTTTTACTGGTTATAATGAAACTTTGGAGTTGTTGACCTTTTAATTTCCTGATTTCAGTTTCAAGTTTATAAAAATTACCAGTAAGAATTATGTAAAGCATCTTTCAACTACTTTGCTGACCCATGACTCATTTTTTCTATTTAGCCCTCCTGTTTTCAGTATATGATGCTACTGTGATTAGTTTGTTTGGTATTCTTTTTTTTCTTTTTGGGTCACAGCCGGCAATGCACAGGAGTTACTCCTGGTTCATGCACTCAGGAATTACTCCTGGCGGTGCTCGGGGGACCATATGGGATGCTGGGAATCTAACCTAGGTCGGCTGTGTGCAAGGAAAATGCCCTACCCGCTGTGCTATTGCTCCAGCCCCCTGTGATAGTTTTTTGTTCTGCATAGATCACACCTCATGAAGCAAGATGGTAGAACCCCATGCACTCTCCAGAGCCCAGCTCACCATCTCACTCTAGGTGATGCTCAGCTCAGCGCACAGGGCGTGGAATTCCGCGTGTGATCCCTGCTGGAGCTCCGTGCATGGTTCCTGCTGGACATCCCCGGCTGTTTTGCGGGATCAGGACAGAGTGGCATCGGCGGGGCAAGGAAAGACCACAGCGGCCGCAGCATCACCGCCTTCCCCAGCTGGACCGAGTCACGGCACCATCGAGCGTGAAGCAGCTACAGTGGCCCGTGTGGTGCTTGTCCGCTGCAGGCCACTCTCTGCCAACCACCGAGTGACTTGGGACTTGGCGCAGGTGTTCGACCTGGCACAGACCCTATGCGATGGGATCTTGCCCTGCCAGCTCTACGACAGCTCAGGGCACACTCCATCCACCACAAGATCAAACTGAGACCGCAGGTGCCCCAGGTGCTGTCCGGAGATGAAGGCAGGTACGTGTTGTCAGTGTACAAATTGTTACAGCAGGCAGATCACCAGGAGCTTACATTCGGTAGACTGGGAACACCTGCAGGGACGATTAGAGATTGCCCGAAAAGCCTCCATCCATCTTCAGGGGGTTGGAGTGATAGCATAGCTGGTAGGGCATTTCCCTTGCATGCGGGCGACCCAGATTCAATTCCCAGCATCCCATATGGTCCCCTGAGCACCGCCAGGAGTAATTCCTGAGTTCATGAGCCGGGAGTAACCACTGTGCATTGCCAGGTATGACCAGAAGGCCAAAAACAAAAGGCTCCATCTTCCCCCGGGAGAGCCTGGCAAGCTACCGAGGATATCCAGCCCGCACGGCAGAGCCTGGCAAGCCACCCGTGATGTACCAAATATGCCAACAACAGTAGCTAAAATGGGTCTCATTTCCCTACCCCTGAAAGAGTCTCCAGCTGAGTTGGGAAGGACAGAGCTCGCACTAAGCAGACGGTGCAAGTCAATGGGCGGGAAAAGAGCCCCACAAGCAGCGGGCCACCAAGGTGGCCCGCAAGAGTGTGCCAGCCTCAGGTGGCATGAAGAAGTCGCACTGCTACTGACCCAACACCACTGGCCCGACACCATGGTGCTATGGGAGATCCGCCAGCTGCCATTCCAGAGGCCTT